GCGATGATGAGGACGATGTTAGTTTGATACAGCGCAGGAATGCCTATGTCAAGCGTTGCATTGCAAACCTCCCTGTTCACAAGAGGAGTAGAAGCCATATGGAAATCGTTAAAGATCCCACTGCGGCGGAAATGCGGCGGAGTTTGGTACGGGATTTTCTGAGAGAGGCTTGTGCTGTCAAAAAATGCACTTCTTGTTCTGGGTTAGCAGTCCACTAATGATCCTAATGATACTATATGTGACCCTTATTGACTCTGTTTTAGAATTTCTCCAGCCTATCGTCGAGACAAGTACTCGAAAATTTTCCGAAAATCTCTCCCGCAAAAGGCCAGAATTGCCATGATGGAGGCTGGTTTCCAGATACCTAACCCTCTTGTTTTGATGGAGGAGGCAAGCCGGCTGTCCCAAAAACAAAAAGACGGGGACAAGACCGCAAATCTGACAGAGTCGCTTGACGATGACGATCAGCCCAATGCGGAGCAACAAATCTCAGTAGGCAATACTATGTTGATGGACGTCGAAGAAGATGCAATGACCCAAGTAGGCGATATTGAATCTCAGCAATATGTTCCTTCTTCGGAAATTTATGCTTCTCTTCACTTTCTATTCAACAAAGAACAGGAAATCCTCGATTTGATATATGACTCTCGGCCTTTTGTCAAGAAACGCTCGCATATTAGTGCCAACATGTTTTTCATCAAAAATATTCTCGTACCTCCGAACAAGTTTCGACCAGCAGCTCAGCAGGGCCCAAACGAGATCATGGAAGCCCAGCAAAACACTTCTTTTGGCAGGATAATCAAGCTATGCGATCAAATCAATCAAATCAGCAGGGAGAGACAGGGTGATACAACAGGCACTTCAAGAAGAATTCGTGATTATCGTGATCTGCTCCAGGCGATTGTTCAACTCCAAGATGCCGTAAACAGTCTTATAGATAGGGATAGGAATCCCTCTCAGGGGCTAGGTGCTCAAAATGAAGATGGTATAAAGCAGCGTCTGGAAAAGAAAGATGGTCTCTTCCGAAAGAACATGATGGGAAAACGAGTCAACTTTGCGGCTAGAAGTGTTATTTCCCCGGATCCAAATATTGAAACGAATGAAATTGGAATACCCCTTGTTTTTGCAAAGAAGTTGACATACCCCGAACCAGTAACGAACCATAACTACTGGGAGCTGAAACAGGCTGTTATCAATGGGCCAGACATATACCCCGGTGCAGCTGCTGTTGAAAACGAGCTTGGCCAAGTGGTCAGCTTGAAATTCAAGACTGTGGACGAAAGAGTAGCGATTGCCAACTTGCTTCTCTCACCGTCTAATTGGAAGCTTAAGAGGTCACGCAATAAGAGAGTGTATCGCCACCTTACGACAGGAGATGTTGTTTTAATGAACCGGCAGCCAACACTGCATAAACCCTCTATCATGGGCCACCGTGCAAGAGTCCTGACTGGCGAGAGAACAATTCGCATGCACTACGCCAACTGTAATACATACAATGCTGACTTCGATGGTGATGAAATGAACATGCATTTCCCACAAAATGAAATTGCCCGTGCAGAAGCCATGCAGCTTGCGGATACCGACCACCAATACCTCGTCGCTACATCTGGAAAGCCTCTCCGTGGTTTAATCCAGGACCATTTATCCATGGGAGTATGGCTCACTTGCCGAGATAGTTTCTTCGATGAGGATGACTACCACCAACTACTTTATAGCTGTCTACGGCCTGAAAATTCGCATACCGTATCTGACAAAATCTGGCTAATGCCACCTGCTATCTTCAAACCACAGCCCCTTTGGACTGGAAAGCAGATAATAAGCACGGTTTTGAAGAATATCACTCCGGATAACCGGGCTGGCCTCAACTTGGACAGCAAGTCATCTACCCCTGGGGACCGCTGGGGTGATAAAGCCGAGGGTGAAGTTACTGTAAGAGACGGAGAACTGATATCAGGAATTCTCGATAAAAGTCAACTCGGTCCTACTGTCGGTGGCCTCATCCATTCTATTCACGAAGTTTATGGTCACATTGTCGCTGGCAAACTGATCGGTATTCTGGGCCGCCTTTTGACCAAAGTCTTACACATGCGTGCATTTACCTGTGGGATGGATGATCTCCGCCTGACCGAAGAAGGAAATGCCAAACGAAAGGAGTTAATACAACAAGCGGATGGCCTTGGTAAAGAAATATCACTAAAATATGTTACTTTAGATGAAAACAAAGTAGACGACGAGGACACTGAACTGCAACGTCGTCTTGAGGAAGTGCTACGGGATGATGATAAGCATGCTGGACTTGATGCTATGTATAAGTCGCGTGCGGGTGAACTTTCATCGGAAATCACCAAGGCTTGCCTACCTAGCGGGCTTGAAAAACCCTTTCCCTTCAATAACATGCAGACCATGACCGTATCGGGAGCCAAGGGTTCAATGGTTAACGCGAACCTGATTTCTTGCAACCTAGGTCAGCAAGTTTTAGAAGGTCGCCGAGTTCCCGTCATGATAAGCGGGAAGACTCTTCCATCATTCCAGCCATTCGAGACTAAAATTGGAGCTGGCGGATACGTTTTTGGTCGTTTCTTGACTGGAATTAAGCCGCATGAATATTATTTTCACGCCATGGCTGGCAGGGAAGGTCTAATTGATACCGCTGTCAAGACTTCACGATCAGGCTATCTCCAGCGCTGTTTAATCAAGGGGATGGAAGGTTTAAAGGCGGAATATGATACCTCTGTTCGAGACACTTCTGATGGGTCTATTGTACAGTTTTTGTACGGAGAAGACGGGCTTGATATCACAAAACAGAAGCACCTGGACAGTTTCTCCTTTTTGGCACAAAACTACATGTCGATAGTGTCGCAGGTTAACGGGGTGAACGACTCGAGTAAGATTCACAGCGAGGAAGCAAGTAGTTGGTCCAAGGCTGCCCTGAAGAAGATAAAAAAGACAGGAAAGATCGAAGCTAAAGACCCTGCGTTGGCTCACTTCCCCCCTGGTGCCAACTATGGTAGCACCTCCGAGAAGTTTTCATCGGCACTCAAGAAGGTATGGCAATTATCTTATCAACGTCTACCTGTACTAGAGCTAACACGATGTTTAGTATCTCAAATCCAATCCCGACAACCTACTCAAAGACAAAAGCACAGGCGAGGGTGAAATCACTAAAAAGGCCTTTACCACAATGATGAACATGAAGTATATGAAATCAGTCATTGATCCTGGTGAGGCCATTGGTATAGTTGCTGGTCAATCTGTTGGTGAGCCATCGACCCAGATGACTCTGAATACTTTCCATTTGGCTGGTCACGCGGCCAAAAACGTCACACTCGGTATTCCCAGACTTAGGGAAATCGTAATGACAGCTAGTAGCCATATCATGACACCAACAATGACCTTGAAACTAAACAAGCAGACGGACGAAAAGACCGCGAGATTGTTTGCTAAGACTATTACCAAGCTGACCCTTGCCGAGGTAGTTGATAAATTGAAAGTTCGAGAACGTGTAACATCCCAGGGAAGTGCAAAGGCCAAGATCTATGACATCCAAATTGACTTTTTTCCTCCTGAAGCATACTGCGCCGAGTACGCTATTCAAGTGAATGATGTTCTCCGAACGCTCGAAGAGAAATTTATACCCCGCCTTGTCAAGCTCACTGAAGCTGAATTAAAGAAGCGAACTTCTGAGAAGTCCTTGTCTAGCCCTTCTGCTGCCCAGCCTGAGATTGGAACCTCTGTTGGTGTTGTGGAAGAAGCTAGGCGTGAAGGAGGGGACAATGATGAAGACGATGATGAAGACTTGGATGATGCCAAACGTGCTAGCTCCTCACGCAACAATGCTGGTCAAGCCTCGTATGAAGCTCCTGATGAGGGAGAGCAAGAGATCATTAGAAGGCAGGATACTCCTGATCTTGAATCTGACGATGAGGACACCGACGATAAACAAAAGCTTGCCCCAGTAGATAACAGTGACAGTGACACCGATATGGAAGATCCTGTTCCCTCCAAAGCTAGGAAATTGGCCAACAGCAGAGACCGGGCAGATACTCTCAGGGGGAAGTACCCTGCTCTCACACAGTTCAAATTCGACCCAGAGAATGGAAGTTTGTGTACCATTCAACTCCAATATGACATCTCTACACCAAAACTTTTGCTTCTACCCTTGGTCGAAAACGCAGCCCGTACTTCAGTCATACAGTTCATCCCTGGACTTGGAAGTTGCGCGTATATACCAGCTGACAAGGGCGAGCCTGAACATGTGGTAACGGAAGGTGTTAATTTGTTGGCAATGCGCGACTATCAGGACATTATTGACCCACACTCCATATATTCCAATTCTGTGTCTCACATGCTTGGCCTATATGGTGTTGAGGCGGCCAGGGCTACCATTGTCAGTGAAGTTGGAGCTGTTTTCGAAGGCCATGGTATCAAGGTGGATAACCGACATCTCACCCTTATCGCTGATGTCATGACTCAAACTGGTGGTTACCGCGCATTTAACCGTATGGGCATTGTTAAGGATAGTACATCTCCATTGATGAAGATGAGTTTCGAAACAACAGTTCGCTTCCTTCGTGACGCTGTCCTAGAGAGGGACTGGGATAACCTCAACGGCCCTAGCAGCAGAATTGTTGTAGGTAGAGTTGGAACTGTTGGCACAGGTGCCTTCGATGTACTTGCGCCGGTCGGATAGATATTTAAAAAGGAAAAATAGTGAGGCGTTTATTTGCTTTCTACTTGCATGTCAGGTTTTAGCCATACTCATAGTCCATGTTAATGTCAAACTTGAGTTCCAGTGTTGGAAATTGGCTCACGATAAGCCTTGGGCTCATTGGTGGCTAAAGAAACTGGCTTAATAGACAGTTACCCTGAAGACAAAAAAGGCATCGATCAACAATTACACCGGGTGGTAACAACGCCTTTATCACGTACACGTCTTAATAACACCATGGCCAACTAGTCGTACCCTCCCCAAATTCTACCTGCAAGTATTTGAACCCGGCTTATGACTCGAGTTCTGCGAGAAGGTCCTCATTAAAATCGTCGTCATCAACAATGGCAGTATCGGCTATTCCCGTGTTGGTTGCATCCCACGCCATTTTATTCCCCTGTGTCTTTTCTATCTCTTGCTTCTGTTTCTCCAGATGACGCTTTAGGTCTTCCAAGCTCCATGTTGAAATACCTTCCTGGTCCTTTGCTTTAAAAGGCTGTGCCATTGACTTCAAGAAACTCTTCGCCGTTGCAACAGCCATATCAGTGCTTAAATTCGTTTCACTCTCAAGCATGGCCTGGCTTATCCATTTAGGCAATTGGTTTCGTTTTTTCTGGAATCTACGGTCAGCAAGTACCATGACTCCGTAATCATCCTTTCCACGAAGGACACGTCCAAGGCACTGCGCAGCATGTCGAAGTGCGTCGAAAGAGAGAAAATCGTTCTCGCGTATACGGTAGTTTTCTCGTAAGAACTCGAGACGAGCTTTCAGGATTCGGGATTCTGTATATTGAAACGGAACACCAATACAAAGGACAGTTCGTCCATAATGATGGTCGAAATCAATTCCCTCAGAAACCTTTCCTCGGGCAACACACAGGAGTACAGCACCACGACCATTGCAACATGCAGTACGATAGGTTTCAAGAGCAAGCGACGACTCCTGAGAATCGGGTGTTTCCACGAGAATCAACTTATAGTTCCAGACAGAGTCTAGAATCCCCATCCCCTGCCACATACTGATTATAGACTCCATGTAGAGGTATGATGGGAAGAACACAACAACCCCATCGGGGGTAATACGGCAAAACTCAAGGAGCATGTTGCCATAATTTCTAACAACTCCTGGATCGTTGCGTATTTGGAACGATGATGATATTTGTGCTTGATCGGAGCCCCGAGTAACAATCATTGGTAAAAAAGAGCGGCGGGCAAGGGTCATACTGTAGGATTCCTGTAGGGCAGCATCAAATCCTAGCATCTTTGGATACATCTCCAAAGGAGAAAGTGTTCCAGAAGTTATAATGACTGAGCTAAACCTGTCGAACACAGGTTTTATGGCTATAGCTGCATCCAGGCAAGTAAAATGTAAAATCGGATTGGGAACGGTTGCCGTGTCCGATTCAAAGGGTTCAAGAATGAGTAGAAAGCCTTTTTCGTACGTTGCAGCAAGCGTAGCGAATGTTGCAACCTCTTGAAGAGGTTGGTAGTCTTCGATATTCACAAGCTCCAGTGTGCGGACCAAGGATGTAAGTCGTTCTGCGCAAAACCGCAGAGGTTTTCGTTCTATAAACGTCAGATCTTTGAGATGGGAAAGGAACGATAGCGGTGTTTCCGAGATTGTATGGGTAACTTTCATCCGAGTTTTTAGGTATTCAATAAAGCGTTTCAAAAAGGCCACAAAATGTTCAGCCCGACGGATATTTCCAGGTACAGACTCTTTCAGAAGATCATCTGGAAGAACAGGGTTTGCCATCAGCTGTTCCTCCTCTCTTGCCTCGTCTGCTTCCCGCAACCCTTCAACAAGCTTCTGGTATTCATTTTGCAGCTTGTCAGCATCCGAACTCTTCATATCGTCTATTTTACGTTCGAGGTTGTTGGCGCCACGGCTCGCTTTCCGCAATGAGTCCTCTGTGAGATCAATGCTCAGAGATTCGATACAAACGTTATCGATGTTATGTGCCTCGTCAAATACTATTATACTATCGCGAGATAACTCTTTGGATACTCTCTCGGCAATTTTCGGATCGAGAAGATAATGATAAGAGTAAATTATGACGTTGCAGTATGGCATCTAATAGAATTTTTAGTGTTATATGGTCGAAAGGCAACTCGATTGAGGTTGCCGTTAAGCTTACCATTCGCCGAGCAGAGAAATATGGGCACTGCTTGTGCTGCTCTCCGTATTTAAGGAGTCCATCAAGTGTAAAAACCCCTGGTGGGACTAAGTTACTAGGTTCTAAAAGGTCTAAGTTCTGCAACAAGTCAGCTTTAGACCTTGAGATTGGACTGCTGGAGCGGACCTCATGATATATGCAGAGCTCAACGTCCTCCCCTTTCTCTTTTTTTTCCTTGATAAAGCCTGCTGTAAGACTCCGACATCGAGCATCAACTACCGCTCCACTCTTTTCGCGCTTCACGGAAGGGTGCAAACACAAATTCTTTCTGCTTGTAAGACCTAAGGCTCGAAAATCTTCCACAACTCCGAGCTTCTGGGAACGATATTTCATTAGCGCGCGTAATTCGCTCAATGCCTTTTCGATCTCAGACATGGTTCGGGAACAGTAAATCAGCTTTCTATGCTCTGGGTAATGTTGTTGGTAGGCGACAATCAGGGCGAGTAGAGTAATTGTTTTCCCTGTCCCAGAGGGCATCTCTAAGACACAGTGGCCGCCCGCATCCAGGACCTTCTTGAGATCGCACATATATGCATATTGCTCGGGATATATCCGAGGGTAAGGAAAGAGAATTGGCAGGTCACTTTGTTGAATCAAGAATAGTTAGCTCAGGGAGTTGCAGTTCGTGAAAAGGGCCAGACCTACTCTATAAGGAACTCCATCTTGTAAGCTCCACGGCTGGCCGTGGGAATCAGGAAAGGCGACGGCTACTTCACCTGGCCCAGGGCAAATTTCCCCAGTCAAAATATCAAGCACTGACTGACATCAACGATAATGTCAACTTCTGAACTTCCATCTCGAACATCAAAAGAAACTCCGCAGAGCCTCATCTAGTTATCTAAGCTAAACTGTAAATATTAGTCATCTTATCACGTGAATGATCGCTGACCCCCACTAGTTAACTAATAAATAGTTAGGTCCGTCGGAGAGCTGATTTCGGATAGCGAACGACAGCTTCTCAGCGCCGGCAAAGCTGGTTGTTTCTCGATCCAACGCCACGGAAGCGCAGAACAGTTGAACGATGACTGGATTTGGCTGAACCTAGCTCCAGACCTTTTATTTACTTGATTTTATTTTCGGCACTTTTGCTTCGATCTTTCTCCAACTGCATCTCAACTTTTACTTGCCCCGCCGGCCATGAGTGGGAAGAAGTTCAAATCCCAAGCTTCAAGCAGCAGAGCAGCTGCCGGGGGCTTCGGGGGAGGCTCATTTAGTTCATTTGGCGGCTTCTCAACCGCCGGACCTGCCCAGGAAACCCCGGCATCATCCCTATCCTATGTCTACGAGCCGCCAGACTTATCCCAAATATCCGACCCCCAGGTTGTGGTCACGTTTAAGAATCTTTTAAAAAAAGATAGTACCACAAAGTCCAGAGCACTTGAAGATTTGCAGAGTCATATATCCAATGTGGTGTCAAGCAATTCCTCACTCGATGATGGATTGCTAGAAGCATGGGTGCGTTCCCCTTACTTTCGCAGTAGACAGATTAATGGAATAGTAGTATTTACTTTTATTTTTATTTTTTTTAAAAAAATTGTTTTGCTCAGTCTAAGGTTTACCCACGCACCTCGATAGATTCCTCTCGTCGAGTCCGGCAGCTTGCTCACAGTCTGCAAGGAGATATAGTTTCCATCGCTGGAAAACGCATTGCACGGTATATCAGTGGTACTATAGGTACATGGCTGGCAGGCTTGTACGAAAATGATAAGCTCGTTAAGAAGTCTGCACAGGACTCACTCGCCAAATCATTCCCTACAGAAGAGAAGCAACAGGGGATATGGACCGTGTACCAGACTTCCATACTCGAATTCGTAGCGGACGCTACACTCCAACAAACGCCACAAACTCTGAGTGATGAAAGAACTGTACGGCCGGACGACGCAAATGCAAAACATGCGCGGGTGGTTGCAACAGCGTTACTGGAGTTTAGTAGGCTCTTAGGTATTAATGCACAGACCATTTTGTCCATTGAAGAAAAATGCTAATCCAAATCAGCCACTGCCCCGACAGAAAAGCTCTCCAAAGATGCAGATTCGGTAGAGAATATCCTTCAGAGTCGAGATTTATGGAAGTTTTCCTACCACGAGGATGCATTTGTCCGACGATCGTTGTATGAACTTCTGCAAACTTGTCTCTCCAAGAATATCGATTGCGTCAATTGGAAAACAATAAGTACCTGTGTGCTATCAAAATCACTGGGTATATCACAGACTGGCTCATCCTCCACGTTTTCGGGACTCCTATTGGCACTTACCAAAAAATCTCCTCAACTCTGGACCACATATTACTCCGCCAAATCCCCGGCTAAAAAGCAATTGATGCGATATATCAAAGCTGGATCAGAAGGGGCGGGCCCATCGTATTGGTCAGAGTTACAACTTATCTTGCAGTCACTCCCAATGGAGGTGCTGGAAATAGATAAAGGAGATGAAGCTGCCATACACTCCATAATATCTATTGCTGAGGCAATCCACTGCTCACTCAAAAAGAGGGAGGAAGCAAGGACAAACTCATTAGCTGCCTGGACTACTTATATTAAAATGAGCATTTGGATGAGCAATAAGATTCCTGGAGGTGAAAAGCACCTCAAATTCTTGGAAGAGCATCTATTTCCAATCCTTGTGCAATTCATCGCTGCAGATCAAGCACAAGCCATATGGACAATAGATGATCCCAACGCCTCCAAGATTTGTGTTGAATTATTCATTGCTCTAAGCCAAATTCTAGAACACGACACCACCGGCGGCTTATGTATAAAATTGGCAACAATACTGAAAGATAACATTTTAATTTCGGAGCCAGAACAGTCCCAAACATACCGAGCTTCCCAGGATTCGGTTTGCTCCAAAGGAAGTCGGTTTTTCACGCTTTGCGGTGGAGTTGTTACAAAAGCTTCTGAAAGCAGTCAGCATGCCTTTGTTGTGGAATCTATAAAAAGTAGCTCGTTCTCATTGATAGAGACATCTCTTCAAACGCTTCAATCTCGAAATGGGAAACCATACGGCGCTGCAGCAGTGGTCGGTGAGGCTCTTGCCAAGATACCATCACTAATGGGCGAGATGGAAGCCTTAGATCCTTTTCTTACCAATACCCTCCCTCAGCTTATTTTGTCGCCTTCAGCAGAGCACTTGGTGTCCATTCTATTTGCCTGTCGGAGCAGGAAAGGATTTAATAACGCGCTCAGAAAAGCAATCAGTGCATACCACAATACTCTGATTTCCTCTTCTCAACTGCCATCAATGGGCAATTTATTTTCCTCAGTGACAGCTCTTGATGAAGAAAATAATCCAGACCTTAAGCTGTTGGTTTTAGGCGTGCTTCAGCAAGGTGTTCGTGGGGACCATCAGTCTTGGCTGGATATTGCAGCAGTTCATCAGAATAAGAAACTAGGGCCGGAGATTTCTAATACCATCCTTGATTCTTTAATTGAAAGGCTGTCCAGTGAAGACTCAATGGTGGAGGTTCTTCGTGGACTATTGCTACTTTCTACAGAAAGTGCCGCACCAATCCAATCATATGTCACAAGCTCAAATGGCTCGAAATTAATTTCCAAACTCCTATATCTTACCGAATCTTCCAACGATGAGGTAGCATTACTCGCAGCATCCTTAAAAGACCAAGTTACAAACATTGGAGGTGATAATAGTTCTCTCAAACCAACCCTTGAAGTTTTGGAAAGGAATTTCAAAACGGTGGACGATGAATCATTATCGTAAGTGGAATTTCTTTGGGGCATAGAAAACTCTACTAATTCATTCGATAGTGTCGAGTCATTAATAGCCATTGTCCAAGAAGTCCTCGATAAATCGTCTGTACATGATAGCCCTAAGCTACTACTCTCACTGTTACCTAGGGAGAGTTCATGGAAGGCCGCCCTAGATCCTTACATTGAAGCCCCCCCCAAGCGATCATGTTCAATAATGAGTCCGCTAGGGGGCGCTGTGCATATCATTGATGCGTCACGTAACCTGGACATTTTACATGCCGTCCCAAGAGACCGGGATGGTTTCCCATTAGCATTCCGGCTTGCATACTATGTCACCAAGCTTCTAACAGCTGTTGGTATTGACGCCGTGCCTCTCCCACCGCTCGAGAATGTTTTCACATATTTCCCATTAATTATCCAGCTAGTTGATGAAGAATTGAGTATTGACGAGTCCACGGCAATCCTATATCCCCTTACTTCTGACACCCGAGCAATTGCACTTGAAATTGTTTCTGAAGCTCGCATCCTGATAAATGGTTGGATTCAGAAGTCATGCACAGCAGATGCAGCCTATAAGGCTGGCGCCAGATCATTTGTATCCTTCTGGGAGAGAAGTGTATACAACTTCGAAGGCACTGGTTCTAGAGCATATCGGTTTGCAGAGTGCTTCGCACGTATCGTGACCGAAAGGGACGCAATAAAGCCGACACCGTCGGCTGATGGCAAATTAAAAGCAGCAATGGAAACCCCAGGGCTTTCTAATCCCTTTGTTTTAATTGCAACTATTGTTGGATATAGGGATTCTATTATAGAGACGCAAACCGTTTCAAAGCTCTGTAACCAGTTAGTTGCAGATATGACGGGCTTAAAGGATACCAACAATATTGGAGGTGAGCTTTTAATATACTTGGGTCTCATTTTTACTCCTCTGGCTGACACCACGGTCACAGATTTACGAAAACTAGTAGTCCTTAATTCTCTGATGTATGGAGGAAACAATCCAGCAAAGAATATCCCCACGCAGAGACTGGTGTTCTTAGTGAAGCATCTCATTACGTGTTTGCAGTCTGGGGAACTCGGGGTTGGAATACTCTCAGAAATACTTAAAGTTTTGTCCGCAGTTTTGCCCTTGATGAAGGAAATATATGGATCACATTGGCCAGACTTGTTTGATGTGCTGAAGTCATTGTGGCAAAATGGAGGGCTATCTAGCGAATATCTCCCTGTTCTACATTCCTCATTGCGTTTGTTCAGTTGCTTGAGGAAGTTGGCGACTGAGGACAGCAATGAGGATCTGGAGGATGCATGGAAAGAAGCTCGAAAGTCGCACACAGAAACTATGGTCAACATGTTAAAGCAGTTCGGTAAGCTTGACCCCATTCAATGGCATAAGGTATCAGTTTGCTGACACAGTTATAACAATAGGTCCTTCGTTTCACTCTGACCAACCCTGGGATATCACAACCGACCTCCTATCGCGAGAACTGTCTGCCATCAATGCTGATGCAATCTCTGATATTAGTGAATTATTTTCCAGCCTTTCCATCGAAAACAAAGGTGTACAGCGTGCAACATATGGAATAATTCATCGAGCAATACCCAAAATCCAGGAGACCTTATCTTTCGATGTGGCGCTTTCCAAAACTGCAGTCCATCTACCAGATCAGCTCTTGGCTCTTCTCTCGGAAGTGCCACCCATAGCACCATTTAAAGAGGCAGATATAGACGAGAATTTCTGGCTGGGAGCTCGCTCTTATATTCTTGGCTGGAAAGTGGTGTTTGATCATTTCGCGTCTTCGGTGAGATTACGTGCTGTCTGAACCAACCCCAGTGATATAATAGCCTGTTCTAACTTATGTTCAGTCAATACCTGTCCAAGAGGGCTACAGCTCTGATATAAAGCAGAAAGACTGCCTGAGTTCCTTGTTAGATTTTGCGTTCGACTGCCTGGAGACGCCCCAGGGTCAGCTGATTGATGCTTCGAAGTTTGAGATTCGCTCGTTTGAACTATATACTGCCGAGTCATCGAAAAGGGAGATGCAGTGGCTTCTAGTCCATATCTACTACCTAGCTTTGAGATACCTACCAAACATGACTCGGGCTTGGTGGGTTGACTGCAAAAAGCGGCTGAAGACACCTGTGGAAACCTGGACACAGAGATACGTGAGTAGTTTTATCTGGGGGGAAGTATTTGGCCTGTATTGCTAACTACTATCAGGTTTCTTCTCTTATAATAGAGGACTCGTTACAGAATGTAAGCGACTGGTACTCTGGCCAGGACTGGGACAGTGAGGAGCATGCTCTCGAAGTCAAAGTATCCTCCAAAGCGGCGGAGATCATCGGCAGCATCGAAATAGATGAGGAATCACCACCGACATCTATTGCTATATCCCTTCCCCCAACCTACCCGTTGCATCAAGCCACTGTTAGTGGACGCTCCCGTGTAGCCGTTGACGAGAAGAAATGGAAGAGCTGGCTTTTAGTGATCCAGGGGGTGATCCTATTTTCCAACGGAAATCTCATGGACGGACTGATGGCATTCAGACGGAATGTACAGGGAGCTTTGAAGGGACAGGGCGAGTGTCCCATCTGCTGCTCCATCATTTCCGCTAACATGCAGACGCCGAACAAGAAATGCGGAACTTGCAAGAATACGTTCCATTCAGACTGCTTGTTCAGGTGGTTTAGAAGCAGCAACTCGAGCAGCTGCCCGCTGTGCCGGAACAGCTTTTTGTATTCTTGATCTCATGGACAGCCATGCGAGAGACTTATATAGACCTGTGTAGAATGTATCAATAGTCGTTTGACATTTCACTACCTACATCTTAAAATCTTCTGCGCTGTCTACAGCGTGGGCCTTGTCTTAATCAGAGTGGTGAGTCTATGATGTTGACGTTGACAGCGAAAACGAACGTCGTGGGGCAACTTAAATAGTTAACCTACTTACGACCGAAAGCTAAAGCTATCTATCCAACCTACGACTGACGACGACAACAACAATAGCAACAACAACTGCAACAACAACTGCAACAACAAACAGCCAACGTGGATATATTCTCTCCAATGGCGGCTGCTCACATTCCCAATCTCAATACACTGCGACGGGGCGGTGGAAGAGGCCGCGGAAGAGGTAGGGCCGGTTATCCTGGCACCGCAGGCCGCGGGGAGGGCAGCTCTGGGGACAAGGTGGTGCAGCAAACAGACAACGATGCCAGCGTCTCGAGACTCAGCGCCGTCGAGCTGGGCTATCTTCACGATCCATTTGCCTCTATCTTTGCACCAGAGACAGCTGAGATACGAAGGTATCCCATCATTAACAGAGGTACGTGTCGCTTGTCTCGTCCCTGGCATGCACTAACTGGAGACGCCCAGGAACATTTGTGCGGACAACCTCGATTGACACGCTGGTTTCCCGGTTCCTCTGGGCGGACAAAAAGAAGAAGCAGATAATTTCGCTTGGAGCTGGGTCGGATACTCGAGTATTCAGGTTGTTGTCAGAAAATCCAGAGCTGGATCTGACGTACCATGAGCTCGACTTTGCAGAAAACACGACCTCGAAGATCGCGAAGATCCTCTCCTCTCCGCCGCTCCTGAACGCCCTCCGCATCACAGACCGAGAGGAGGTGAAGACGTCTTCCAATGGTGATGCATTCCACTCGAAACACTACCACATTCACCCCATAGATCTACGAACGCTCACAGCGTCGTCCAACGGCCCGGACCGTCCACGGGTTCAAGATATAGATTCAAGCGCCCCGACCTTGTTGATCTCAGAGTGTTGTCTCGTATATCTGCCTCCTGCCGATGCCGTGAAGGTTATCTCATATTTTACGGATAACGTGTTCTCTCCAACCACGCCCCTTGCACTGGTTATATATGAACCCATTAGACCGGATGACCCATTCGGAAGAACGATGGTGAATAATCTGGCGGCTCGCGGGATTCAGCTACAGACGCTTCATCGTTATGCAACACTACAAGCCCAGAGGGAGCGGTTGCAGAGTCACGGTTTCTCAGACGGTCAGGGCGTCGCCGATATTGATTTCATCTGGGAGAAGTGGATCGGAGAGGACGAGAAGAGTCGAGTTGCAGGACTTGAAATGCTGGACGAGGTCGAGGAGTGGCAGTTGCTCGCAAGGCATTACTGTGTTGCTTGGGGATGGCGAGATGGCCCGCCATCACCTGGAGACCAAGAAACGCTTCCGACTGGCGAGGCCTTCCACGGCTGGCGAGAGTTTCCATCACAATGAATAAACCCAAATAGACTGAGCCATTTTACTTACACTGTCAAAGAATAAGGAGTATCTTCTTTTTGACAGGAGATCGTCCACTCTCCGAATATTCCTGGAGTTCTCCTGATTGATGGTCCCTTTTCCCGGACGACAACAGTCGCTTTTAAACTACTAAGATGATCTGCGACCCAATATACGCCATACGGCCACGCATCAAGTTGCCGTGGCAGTCTCCTGCCTCCCGCGTCCCCTTTTCCAACATGTCCAAGCACGCTGGTGATACATAATCACATCACGTGGATATCTGAGGCTAAAGCTCAATCTCACCCGTGGCCAAAACTAGCGAATTTTGCCTTTGCAGGAATGCGAGCAGTCATCTTCGCAATTATTTTTGGCTGGCCATAGCGAGTAAAAATGCGACAGCCAAGTGCCGACTCGGCAGGGTCAAGGAGCCACCTCGTCCGTGTGGTGGATCTTATTGGACTACACTGGCGATCTCAATTTAACCCCTGCACCAAACAGGAACCAAATCTTTTTCTGGATACGATTGTTGGTTGAGCCCACAGAGGCTCTCCGCGACGCGAGTGATTCGGTTGTCCTGAAGAACCTGATACGATACGGATGGAGGAAGCCCAGGCTCGAAGAAGAATGGGCGGGACTATGCTGGAACCCTGTGTATATACTGACAAGGGCATACAAACTGTGATGAGTGATCTGGTTAGTTGATGATGGCGTACGGAGCACAGAAGCGCCCTTTTCTCAATCGAGGAATGCCCTGGATTGGATGGATACCAGCGTGATGCAAGGCACAAACCGCGTCCCTAGCCCAGCGGCGTGCCTGGCTGGCGAGGCTAGTCATAACCATGGTCGCCGATGCCACACTCCTTAGTTAGGAGATTGCATGACCCCCTGGCAGCCATTAACTTGCCCCAGATGGCGTCCCACTAAATACGCCCGCATTCGCCAGTTAGTTCAAATCTCGCCGTCAACCTCCTTTTTGCGCTCGACTGCTTTTTAATCTTCAAAAAGTGTTTTTGCACCTCACCTCATACACTCTTTTGCGAAACCTGCCTGTCACTCCTTTAGTGCTACTGTCGAGACTGTTCCCCGCGTTCCATTCCTTTCTGTTGTGTCCTTTCCTACACGGTCGTTAGAATAACTGCTTGGATATTATCCTTCCCTTTGCCCGTTTGTCTTTTATCAGCCATTCTTTACTACCGTTCAAGAAGTACCCAGAGAAAACGCTTACCGCAAGGGTCACTGGGAAAGAACAGAAAGGTCAGCATTGCGCATCAGCTGTGCGACAAATTCTGTTATTGAAAGTCGATATGTTGCGCATACCAATCTGGGCGTCAGCCGTCCTTTTCTTCCTTGCCGGCCCATCTCAAGCTGGACACGCCGATTTCCATAGTTATACTTCTGGGTTCAGCCGTCATCACGGAGGAGGCCACCAGAGATTCCATCGGTCTGTCCCTGCACTGGAAGCCCATGGGGTGTCCTATATCGAGAAGAGAGGTGGCCAATGTCAGTTCCCTGCGGATGCTGGACTGGTGGCTGTTACCCCGAATGCGATGAATGCTGGCTGGGCTATGAGCCCCGACCAGCCCTGCAAGCCTGATAGCTATTGTCCCTATGCTTGCCCCTCCGGCCAAGTTATGGCACAATGGGACCCAAAGGCGACTGCTTACACCTATCCCGCTTCAATGGTACGTCCAAATTATTCCTAGGACCGATAGCAAACTCACCTAACTCTTTCTTAATAGAATGGTGGTCTTTACTGTGATAAAAATGGAAAGATTAGCAAGCCGTTTCCCGAGAAGCCATACTGCGTTGATGCCTCGGGCCCTGTTAAAGTCAAGAACAGCTGTGGAGGAGTGGTTTCTTTCTGCCAAACTGTCCTTCCAGGAAATGAGGCTATGTTAATCCCTACCAGCGTGCAGGATACCGCAGATCTCGCAGTTCCCGATCCGTCCTACTGGTGTTCAACTGCTGCTCAGTATGTATTAAAGAAAGAAGATAGTCATTTTACCGCTTGTTTCCCTTTGCTAACTTTCGCTCGTCTAGCTACTATATCAACCCTCCAGGTACTGACACTGATACTGCCTGTGTATGGGGAACTAACGCCAACCCATGGGGTAACTGGTCTCCGTATGTCAGTGGTGCAAACACCGATCACAGTGGGCAGACCTTCCTGAAGCTCGGCTGGAACCCCATCTATCTGGAAACGGCAACTCCCTTCAGGGATGAGAGCCCAAAGTTCGGTGTCAAGGTTGAATGCGAGGGATGCAATGGGCTCCCTTGTGAAATCGACCCAGCCAAGAACAAGGTCAATGAAATCACTGGCAGTGGTACTGATGGTGCAGGTGGTGCTGCCTTCTGCGTCGTTACTGTTCCCAAGGGCACCCAGGCTACTATTGTTGTCTTCGAAGGTGGTAACAGTGGTGGCTCCGGTGATTACGGACATGGTGATAAAGATGAGAAGCCAAAAGATGATGACAAGAAAGAACCCAAGCCATCTTCAAGCTCTTCCTCGCCCGCCCCGTCGTCCACTCCTTCAAGCTCGTCCTCTACGCAATCGCCGACCCCTACCTCTACATCCGCCTCGTCCAGCTCCGAAAGCACTCCGACGCCAACTAGCTCTTATCCGAGTAAGTCTAGCTCTACCACGTCATCGTCTGCGACTGCGGCTTACTCCACCACCTCGAAATCTCCAGACGCCTACATACCATCGCCTCACGTATTTATTGAGAGCCCTAGCTCTTCCGTTCACCATCCCACCAACGGCTCCTCAATCATCATGCCAACGCCTACCAACTCCGAAAAAGCGCCTGCTCCCACTCATAATAACGCTGCTTCGGCTGCCGCAATCTCCGTTATGAGTCTCACGCTTAGCTTCCTGATCGTCACGATATTCGTGAACTTTTAAACAATACAAAAAAACAAAAAGGAAAAGCGGAAAGCATGGAGTAATTGACTGGGATTGGAAGCGCGTTTTACTTTTTTTTTTTTTTTTTTTTTTTAATTTTTCTGCTTTTTAACTTCACATTTTACCTGATCGTCACCCCTTTATATATTCTTTGCTACTTTATTGCAAGAATATAGGCCTATATACCCTCTTATATTTGCCGCCCATCTTTTACACTTTTATTTCTTAATTCACCCTTCACGATGAGATTTACGCGTAGGCCGGGGCTTTTTTATGACACTTGTGGAACCCCCTATGATTTTTCTAACATTTATACCCTTCTGATATCCCCCTTTATATCTTATTATCTTCTTGTATATTAATTTTATTGATAATCATGGCTTCAAAACATGTCCCTTGCAGGTATACGTGTTTACTATTCTTCTTGCTCTATGCCCACCCTCCGTCCCCCTATTTAGAGCATCCACATCCCCAAATCCAGCAGGCAGCCGTCCTTTGCTCCATGCAGTTGCGTATATTTTAATCATCACCTAGATCGCCTCCGTAACCTGATGCTTAGTATTAGTCAGCGAGAAGAGTATTGTCTAACGTGTGGTCACGTTATTTGAAAATTAAATCATCCAACCATCTTTTTGAAATCAAAAATAGAATCCAATAAAAAAGCAGCACCGAGCCTAAACCGTCGAGTGGACTACATCGAGCTAACAAAAACATCCCAGAGACCTCGAACTATCTATCTACGAATCGCACGAACAATAAACTGGCCAAAACCAGCGGCCACAAGGATATTTATCACTATGGTACGCCGTACTCGAGACGCGCCCCAGCTTGTTAACTGCAAATGGTGGAAGCGAGGCCACTGCCAGAGGGGAGACCTATGCTACTTCCGCCATGATCCCTGCCTACAGGGCGTTGACCACAAGGCTGATGCGCCCACGGATTCGAGCGATGCGAATGCTACCACTCGGGATACCAGTAAGTTCCGCAGTAAAGATACTATTGATTCTGCTTTGTATTGATTCCTGGGCGTAAGAACATGTTAAAACATTGGAGAGTCTCGGGATATAATCAACAGTTATCTAACAGCAGGCTTTTTCACAGATAAACCGTTACGGCCTCGCCAACCACACGGCTCGTCCAAGGCACCTGAGCATTGCTCTATCTGCTTAGAAGTTCCGAAAATCTACGGCTTATTGACTAAATGCGATCATGTGTTTTGCCTAGGTTTGACACCTCCAGTCGCTGCGCATGTTGGAGCTTCCACTAACGAACTTGATGGCTAGAATGTATTCGACGTTGGAGAAATCCCAAGAAAGATTCAAGTAGTGGCGACAGCGACAGCTCTTATTCTGGTGAATCATCTGCGATATGGGGCTCGAAATCAAAAAAATCTTGTCCCTTATGCCGTAAGCCCAGCAGATACGTTATACCCTCCGCAATATTTCCTGCTCCACCAGCAGGTACAGGAGACTCCTCCAAAGGTACAGTTGAAAACGAGGCATCATCCTCCAATCAATCTAAAACCAATGGAAAATCTCATGCCACACCTAATCCCTTGAAGATGTCAATCATCAAAGAATATAACCGGAGTATGAAGAGAATACCCTGCCGGTACTTCCAGACTGCTGTAAAAAACTGGAAACAGGAGGTAGACGAAGCAACACAAAAAAAGAGAGAAGCGCCTCCATTTCGACCAGGATGCTATTTTGGAAACAAATGCCATTACGCCCATATTGACCCTCAGACTGGCCAGCCATATATATTCGATGCCGCTCTCATCAAAGAGATTGACAGAAAGCGATCACGGCGTAAAACCCAACGCCGAGGATGGAGTGATATATATGATTATCCTGCTTTCTTTGGTGGTGGTCTAGAGCCAGATCTTGAGTATGCTTTTCTATCTTCCTTTCTGGAAACAGGCAATGATTGGGATATACTTGATGACAGTGATTAAGACTGGCATATAGGAAGTACACATCGTAATGACCCTTCCAATGATGAATCAATATAGTCATATATTATTGACATGTTTGTAAAACATACTAGGGTATCTTCAAGTAGCTTTTTACGTTTTCTTAGCGACCTCTATATTGGATTGTAAAAGTTTTTCTGGATTTTCTTTTAGCATTGATCCTAATCTAACAATTTTGTACCTCCAAGCAGATACAACAAGTGTTCATCAATGCATTCAAGGAGGTGCCGTTCGAGAGCTAATTTCTATGTGTCCTGCATTGATTATGGGCGGCGAACGAGTACATTTCGTAGGCTAGGATTTCGCTTGGGTACTTCTTTGATAACCTGCTTCCTCTCCTAAAGTAATTGTAACCTGCCATTGTTACATAAATGGCTTGTTTTAAGAGCATATTGGATATAGATGCCGCGTTGCACTGTTCATCGGTGGCGAGCTGTACCTTGATATGTGCCGTTTCCTACCAGGTCAGCGCAAATCTCAGTGGGCTTGGACATCTGCATTAGGCGGACCATGACTGTGGAATGCCTTAGACAAGGATCAACCTCGCTCACGGGCGGCGCGAAGAACTGTTTGGTATTGATATCTTGTCCCTGTGCCGTCGGTCTCAAACCTGGTCCGCTTATCCAATTTCTATGGCTGATCGTCCGGCAGCTTTCTGCTTCTATCCCGCCTGCAACTATCATGTTCAATTATCATAGCCGACCCTCCAAGATCTGCTGCAGGGCCTTGTATTTCCTAGCATGGATCATCTACCAGCTAAGCTGAAGCGGGTAGAATCATCCATCATCCCTCAGATCAGTAGCGCGCGAGAATGTGCCTTGTTCCGCGGCAAAGGGGGGGGTATTGAGAAGCAGAAAATGTCTGCCCACCGGTTCTGAATGTATGCTATGCATGTACGGAGTATAGCTAAACGAGTAGACCTCTAAGCTCCATGACTTCCTAAGGCGTGGTTGTTGGGCGCAAAGCTACGGCGCGAAGTTGTTGAAGTCGAGGTGCAAAGAGCCGAAGATGCTCCCAAGCGAAAAGCGTTTCCCGCGGTTAATGTCGACGTCAACGCCAACGCCAACTACAAGCATTTCTTCCTTGACCGCACATACAACAGCAACGCCATAGATACGGTGTTTAATTTTATTTTATTTTACGAGATGATGTACTCTTGCTAGCCGAGATGCCGTTACCCAAGCAAACTGTAGGTTGTCTGTTCTTCTTCCTCTGCATGCCCGGCACCAAAGTCCTCCGATGACGTCGTTGTATTTACAACCAGCACCACCACACGTCGCCGAAATGCACCGTTTACTCAAATTTCTATATTTCTCTGCATTTATGAATACGGGCTAATGTTTTGTTCTCCATGTCCAATAGCAAGACTTAATATTCGCACTTCAGGCACTCGTCTTTCGACTCCGTCAACTCAAGAAAGAGCGGCAAGGCTACTCCAAGGCAAAGCATCGAGAGCTTGCAAAGCTGTTAAAAGAAGGCCGGGAAGACTTTGCTCGTATAAAGACGGAAGATGTTATTTCGAACGATAACTTGATAGCGGCCCTTGAGGTGCTTGAGCTGCACTGCGAGCAGCTGCAAGTTCGGGCCAATATTCTGGACCATCTCGCTTTTGGGCAGAAGAAGAATAAAACGCCAGTGAGGCACAGAGGCAAGGCACAACGGGATGCGAGATCGAAAACCTCTGCTGGCGGAGGTAAGGCTGGTTCGCATCCTGCTGGTGAGGGATCCAAACCTGCCCCTGGGGGTGGTTGGGGGATATGGAACCTCTTCGGTTTCTCTTCGACGCCTACTTCTTCATCACAACAGCTCGCAGAGAGCCTGCCAGGTCGTTCACCAGATGAACCGGTAGTTCAAACTGAGGGAAATGATGGAGATGTTTCAGAAAAGCAATATGAGGTTTATATAGACCCTGAACTTGATCGCTCCGCAGCGGTGGTTTTCTATTGCTACGCCCGAATACCTCGTGATGTCCCGGGCCTATTAGAAGTGAAGAATAAACTATCTCTACGTTGGGGAAGTGATTTTGTCAGCAGAGCACAGGATGACGACGATCTGCCGGTAGAGCTACCAGAGATTCTGCTGGATAGACTACGAGTTCGAAAGGCCCCGGAGTCACTAGTCGAGAGCTACTTGACTGAAATTGCAAGGAGCCATGGGATACCATACGGCGATATCAATATAGACGAGGAACAGGAAGCAGTAATATCAATAAACGATGCTCACCCAGCAGAAACAAAAAACGGCGAAGCACGGTCAACACAAGGGGCCTCTGGGGGCTCCGAAGCTCGTTCAGAGGCGAGCAATACAGCTGCCGCAAAGGACACTGCGAGTAAACTTGGAGGCATACCCGAAGTAGATGAGCTTGCCCGGAGGTTTGCTGCTTTAAAGAAATAAAATGAGCTGCCTTCACATCTTTGCATATATCAACCTACATTCAATGTGTGTGTTGTGACATTCTATATCTTCGGGCCATTAGTTATATGATCCGATTCCAAGTACCCACGTGAATAGTTGACATCCATTAGTTATCACTAAATATACAGCATCGTCCAACCATAATATATGACAAACATATACTACAGTCCTCATTCATTAAAAGGAACTTGGGGAGACAAGTCCGCCTTTTGATATCACAAGAGTATTTTATCATCTACTGGAAATCAGCCAAATATCATGATAAAAAGCAGGTTGTTGAATACCCCCCAGCTGAAACCTGCTAATTGCAGTAATACTGCCTTCAACACTTGGAGATCCCGGGAAATAGTTGGGACTTGGTGGGCTACTGGTACAGGACAATGCAAAATTGCCTGTCGCCAATGTGGCTATCTTGGTTTCCACCCCTGGACCCTCACATTTCAAATGGAGGGAGATAGTGGCTGCCAGGAACAGCCAGTGTAACAAGTCCAAATTTTTAAATCAAGGGCATTGATAAGTCCGTAACCACCTAGGCAGTGGCTCCCTATCCCTTGTCCACTTCCTGCTCTCCCGCCTCCAACTTATCCAACTGGGAGAAAAAGGAGATGCTAGGTATAGCTAGTTGTAGGTGGTATTCCGCGATGTCGAAACTGTCTCTACAATCCATTGTAGATTCGCTAGTCCTCGAAACCCATATTTGAGGAGTTCCTGGCACCCTAGATGAGGTTTCTGGACACCGGAGCTGCGAGGGTAGTTGGTCTGCTGGGCGCGTACAGCGGTGGACAAGATGTTGACTTTCTTTCCACAAGGCATAGTAGAATGCTGCGTTAGCTGTGACAGCCGAACATACAATTTCAATTGAAGCCCACTAGTTATACAAACTAAGTCAGCCACCTTTATAGCAATTAAAAAGGGATGGATAGACTTGAAGATGGCATACCAAAGTTCGGGACTCCTGGGAGACGGAATGACTGAGAATTAATGGTATTCTAGTGACAGTAATGGCTACTACCAATGTACCAACAAGGAAAAGGAGGGTTAATTGGACCTTACTATGTATGTTATCGTTAGAAGTGACTTAATGTAATATAAAATAATTGAAGACCTACGTCTGAAATTTGAGAGCACTCATCCTCCAGAGGAGTGGTATGGGGAATAAAATGAGAGCGAGGTCGGTTATTATGTTCAAAGATGCCATGCAGAGGAGATTCACTGTTCCCTTCCGACACAAATCTATATATACCCAATAATTAGCTTCATATACTCCTTTGTGATATCGATAATGCTACCAATATGCATAGTTTGGACTCACTATGGCTATACTCTGGTCTCCAGGCACTATATAAGAGAAGTTGTCTGTTAGTAATGGTATAACTAGTGCTTGGTTTAACATCCTGTAGATAGGAGAAAGCTTACACATATATAGGCCGGCATTCAAGTAAGGTCGCAAGGACGATGATGATGAATGTCAAAAAAATGAATGCACGGAGAATTTGAATAGCTCTGTGAACTCGAATTGACCCCGTTTCCAGTCGGGTGTAGAACTGGAGAAGGCATAACTTCATGCACCAGAGACTAGTTGATAGAGTCAGCTGCTGGTTCACGTTTCTCCAACATGGGCAACACACTTACAACATTGCATAAGTTAAACGAGCCGTCATGACAAGCTTTTGAAACAGCTCTTCATCTTTCTGTGAGAGCGGCTTCTCTAGGGAAAAGTTCCAGGACATGCAGACGGTCCGGAGTAGCAAGGGGAAGAGAGAGGCAACCATCCAGCTATCATCGGCATGCCACCTCTGCTGCTGCATAGTAGGGAACCATTTCAACGTCCCGCCAATACGCACAAACGAGCGGATGAGAACCTGAAGAGTACAGATCGCGGCCGCAACCACGATCTGCGTTTCTTCTGAGGTCCATACCATTGGATATTGAAAGGACAGGCAACATGATCATGAACACGTTTGCGAGGAGAAGGTCGCGTCTCTTAGCATCCGTATGAGAGAGAGCAAGGGGCCGACTTTGGTATTAAGAAGCAGCTTTCTGAAGGGAAGGGATATCGTTTTCAGCCTTGTGCTTGCTTGTTCCATGCGAGGAAGATGAAAATTCGGGGCCAGGAAAAGGAGAAAGGCTCTGCCAGCTGTTGATCCCCATGTGGGCGCTGTATTTCTTATATCCAAGCAGCATGATGACAGAGTAGGGGCTCTGGGCTATGCTCTGTTCCTGGGGCCCTGTCTGACCCTCATGCCATCAGCTCGTGGAGGTGAGCCAGGTAGCCCAAGCAAGTCTGACTGGCGCACGAAGGCACGAAAGGTACCCACGACATGACTATACAGCGAAGCAGCTCGTACAACCTCGCATATGTAAAAAGAAAAGAGCCAGGTAGCATGTATCCCTCGGTATCGTCCTATAACTAACGGCTGTAACTCTGGGTCTAAATAAAGAGCACGCTGAGAATTCGTACGGCCAGAGATGCCACGAGAGTTGGCCTCTTTGGTAGCCATAAATGTCCAAGTCCGGTGGATAAATGTAAGGCCCGTTGAGAAGACAGCGTGAAGTAGGTATGGATTCATGCAGTCAGATAGGACAGTTAGTTACCCTCCGCCAGCCTTGTTTGAAAGATCTCTCGAGCAGAGTCCATACCGAGTCTCCTGCGCAACATCAGCCGAAGGGCTCTGGCAGCGTCCGCACATTGGCTGCTTTCTTCGGATTCGGGCTACATGCTGACAGTCTGCGTGTAACCAGCCGTCTTCTTCGCTATTAATAGCCATAATTAGCCGAAGTTGCGGTATCTGCAGTCATCGAGGCTCATTGAAGTGTTTTTTATCTGCTTGTTGACTTCAAGCGTTGCTGGCTCCGGTCCCCCTTTTACGGTTGACATCCACGATCCATGGCCCTTCTGTCTAATCTTTCTGTCATCTCGGTGGCCCGTCGAGGACCTCGTGCATGTCTTCTTGTCCTTGATGGAGGTGGCAGCCTGGAGCCTGGAAGGCATCTTGGTGTGAAATGTGATACAGGCAGTCTCCAGGCTTGTGTCAGGGGCTGCCGGCCGTTGAAGAAATCAGGACAATCCTGGCTCGTGGAGGAGCGAAACCGGCCAACCATGGACGAGATATTCAACTAAAAATATAAAAAATAAAAATAAACAAGGAGAGCCCATCCTTCCTCGGGACGTACAGGTGTATTTGATGCGATTTTATCGTACCGTTTACAGGCTTGATTGCTTGTTAAACCGACGAGCTAGTTGACTAACTGATATCACCAATATCTACGCACAAGTAGAGCTTCGGATATACAGATCCCACATTGAAAACCATCTGTGCAATGCATGACTATATCAGTCTCCACTATCGTAGCCTCAGGAGCTTCAGAGTCAACGGCCTCGGAGATCAGGGTAACTAGTTGTATCTACAGCCATGTCCATGCAAGGTTGGTCTTCTCTGTCGAATCCAGGGCAGCCAGCTCAATGCACTATTCTCTGCCGGCAGTTCACAGTGTATGCTCTGTGCTAGACCGCGTTTCATCCTGGCCATTGTCTCACGCGGACATATGCAAGAGTTGGTGCCGAAAAGCGCATGGCATACAGGCCTCTGGACACCATATACCCAATCACTGCCCGTTCAGCCCGAAATTTGCCTCAACATTCCTTCATGAGGGACAAGAAAGACGTGTTAGCCGCTTCTTGTGATATGAGAAGGATTCGGCCTGCTTGCCTGTGAGTGCCGAGATGCTGTGAAACCCATGGCATGGCGATCACATCACAGGCATTGATCCCTTCATTCCTCTTCCTTCCTTTTTCTCGGAGGGTATCCCAGAGACTGGCCATATTTCTCCGTCGTTGATGAGTCGGAGAAGTCTGGATATCCTCGTGTGCGCCGTTTCTGCTGCATCTGTGAAGCAGCATAGGACGTGCTGGTGGTCTTTGTACGGGTCGGGCGAACCAGCAAGGATAAACCATCCTTCACCTTCATGCACGTAACTACAACGCAGCATGTGCGGCATCTGCCGTGAAAGGACCATCGAGTGAGCTGAACTTAGTCCATAGTACGCGGGAGGTTGTTGGGTGGTGGATGACTGGATAGGTGGAAGGGTCTTCCTGCGGTCTCCCCTATTATATCTGGTTATATTTGGCCGCGAATCTCACAAAGCCGCACACACGTGGCATATTCTCTCATAGAAAAGGTGATATGCATTGTGATATTACATACAGTTGGTTTTCTAGTCCTTTGGCTTTCGTCGGTTGTGCTGGTTGCCCGTCGGGTTGATCCATTCTCATTCGTAGGTGGCTAAAAGCTAGTTAAGGGGGCATAGTTACGAGCGAGGATGCACGGGTTGTAAGCTCATGACTCGCGGGTAAACAGCAGTTATATTTAGAACTACCCAGGTGCGAAGAATTACTGTGGTATTGCTGTATTCCGCTGCGATAGGGAGTGCATATTAAATTGGGGTTTGGAGTTTGCATTCCTTAGAATTGGTATATGGTGATTGCTTCGGGGATCCATGATTATTAGCAGCTTCTAAGATACCACCCTGCCCTGAATACTGCTTTGACTTACTTGGTCTTTTTGTCTCGATAGTGCCATTTTGCCTTTGTTTGGTAGATTAAATTGGTGCTACCATTACTTCCCCTGCTATGCTTGCATGGAGATATATTGATTGGAATTTGGCTCATGAGCCTCTGAGGCTAATAATCCTTGTTTAGGGAGAGGCTCCTCGCAGGCTGCTTGGAGAAGAGGCAAGTATAGATATATTTATATATGATATGCTAGAGTGGATTTATATACAGTTTCTAATCCGTTAGGATAACTCATCCAGACATTAATCATTTTTCATTTTTGATATCATACCGTTCATTTAATTTCATTTAATGCTTCTTGAAGCAGGGAAGCCATTCCTCCAAAGCCGAGTGGAAGAGATTCCTGGAAACCTCGCCGGGCTTGAAGTAGGTGCGGAAGTCATAGACGTGCTGAGCGTTGGGGATCAGGTAGCCAAAGATCTTCCTGGGGCCGGTGGAAACGTTGCACTTGGGGATCTCCTGAGAGACCTTGACGCGAGGAGCAAAGGGCTCGGTAGACAATGGAGAAAGGGTGTTCCAGGGGTCGTACTGGCCACCGCTCCAGTAGACGTTTGATGGGCGCATATTCCAGCCCTTGGTGGCACGGTTGGTCTTCTCCGTCTGGGGTTTGACGGGCAGGTATCCGCTCTTGACGCCGGTAGGGAACTGGCGGTAGCAGAAGTCCTGGTTGTACTTGATGGTCTGGTACTTGGAGAGGATCGGGTGCTGGGGGTAGTTGACGGTCTGATAGTAGCCCCATTCGCTGCAGTACTGCCAGATCCAGCTTATAAAGTCTGGATCCTCGCTGGGCTTGTCGAGCTTGCACTCCAGGGGCTTCGACTTGTCGGTCTGCTTGCAGTTGGTCATGGCATTGGCGTTGACCATCTCGGCGAGCGTAGGCCAGGCAGCAAAACGTTCGGCCATGGCCTTGTCTCCGAGCGTGGGGGCCCATCCCTCAGCAGGGGCGGTCTTGTTGGTCTTGGGGTCGACCTCGAGCCAGTTGCAGAACTTGCCGACCTGGCCGTCGGCGCCGGAGGACTGCCAGCCAGCGTAGGCAACGATGAGCGCGGCAGTGAAGTCTCCATTGCTGGCTTGCTCGGCTCCCTCGCCCAAGAAGAGCTTCTTGATGGCAGCTGCGGTGTCGTTGCGGGAGAGCTGGCGGTCGATGTACCTGTAGGCAGCGCGGATGTCCTTGGTGCAGTTTCCCCAGCCGTAGGCGACAAGGCCCCTGTAGACCTGCTCGTAGTAGACGGCCATGTCGATCTGGGCCTGCACTGGAGCTGAAGAAGCCCAGGAGGCGTATATGGTCTCTGGGTATCTGTCACGGGTGAAAGCAGATCGCATGCCAGGGTACGAGCCACCGACCATGACCCAGGGAGTGGCATTGGGCCTCAGGTCATCGTTAGGGAATGACTTCCGCTTGAAGTCCTTTGCGAAGTAGGGCAAATCAGCGAGAGCCTGGTCGTTGTTGAGATACTGGAAGTGCTCTGGGGGGGTCTCGACAGTGACTGGGAAGGGGGTGGACTCCCCATAGTATCTTCAGCATTGTCAGTTTTGCGTCCAACACCATGTATGATATTATATACGTATATATATAAACAGAGAAGACAAGACGTACCGGTGCTCAAAGATGATTCCAATGCCGTGGAACTTCTTGGTTAGCTGCCTGAAGAAGTTGGTCTCGTTGAAGAGATATCTGTCTGCATATCTCTGGCCAGCGGCTTCACCACAGTCGAACACAAAGACGGGCCCGCCTGGCTTGTAGTCCTGCTCGTTGATCCAGAACCGATGCTTGTAAGTGCCCGTCTTGTTGCTCTTGTGATCAATTGGCATCTAACCCGGCTGTCAGTCTGGTATCCATATATACGTCCACAGTGAAAAGGGGGCTCCCTACGTCAACGGTCTCTGCCTGGGGGCTGCCAAACTTGGGGCTGTCCATCACAGCCTTGAAATGGCCTGGATCCAAGGCCAGATCCGAGCTGTAGCCCATCATGACAGCGTCGTGCATGTCTTTGCCCAGCTTGGAGCCGGCGAAGCCAAAGGTCGAGCCCGTGCCCGCGAGGAGGGCGAGGGCAGCGCCCTGGATGAAGCAGCTGGAGAACTTCATGCTGCTGGTCGAGCGATATCAATCAACGAGTAACTGGGCCTCTGGAGAGAAAGCAGAGTCAGAGCCCTCTCCAACGGGCCCGGGAGACAGCAGGCCATCGGCTTTTTATATCTTTGCTTCTCGCCCTTGCCGGCCGTTGTTCTCGTGTCCCTTCCCCGTGTCCCTGTGGGGGAAGAAGGGCTGATCCATCCATCCATCCTCGCTGCCAGTATCCAGTGGGCCATGCGGTTTGGCTGGTATCAACAGCACAGATAACTAGCAATCAACTAATACGAACGAGTTAAGGCTTATCCCCGTCCGACCCTCACCCTCCGGGGGCAAGGAGGATATCGAATTGCAGCTGGACCTGGCCGGAAGAGGAGAAAGAGAACGGCTGGCTGCCGATGTCAGGGCTCCTCGATATTACGTTTATCATTATTATTAGTTAGCTGCCCCCCCAAGGTTATTGAGTATCTCCTTTGCTACCCGCCCCTGGGATGATTATTGCATTGCGCTGCTGAAGCGAACGAGAATGATCCCAGCCAC